CAATTTCCTATTAACTTAATCTGAAGTCTTGTATAACTTATACTGTTTTACCATGACTGATCTTAGCTGAATATGGCTTGTTAGATTGCTGTTTGGGTATTGACGGATTTTATTCAAAACTGTTGGATAGTATCCAGTCCAAGAGTATAGGCAATACACTGAAGATGACAAGATTCACTGCAATACCCAATCTGGTTTGATTATTACCTGCTTTTGAAGTTTTATACTACCCACAATGTTTTGTTTTTATTAATATTGTTATAGACTGCTATATTCAATTATACTACTATGCCTGATGATATAGACAATTCTATTGAAGATAACAAGAGACAACACATTAACCATTGTAGAACACCTTGTACTGTGGTTTTGGATGATATTTTTGTTTCATGTGTTTATAGGAATATGTTTTTTTTTTTTTTTTTTTGGTCTTGCTTTGTTTTATTTCTCCCTCTAATATAGAAAGGATAGAAATACATGTAGAGACCCATGCATGCATAGAACCTATAAACAGTTTATGAGAACTGATCTTATAATGCATGATGAAATGAACAAATACTTCGAAGAAAAAGAGACACTGATCCCATAGTGTCATGGTGTGAAATCCAGCAATACTATTATTCTTTGTTCAGAGTGATTTTAGCCTGCTTTGGTTTGTTTAATCTTAACATACATAAAGATATGGATAACTACATGTATGTTTAAGTGTATAGGATTGTTAACCATATTACTAAGTTTTTGTTGGATAGTTGAACAGAACTGTTTGCAGTTTTGTTTGAATGTCCACTTTGTATGTTTCACTTTGGCAACTTGAATAACTATTTGTAAGAGGACAATATGTAATTATCAACTAGTGATTTCTTACTGCTTATTTTTTCTTTGAAATTATGTATTCTTTCTACCCTTTTTCTGCTTTGTTTATTCTTTCTTTAAATAAAATTTTTTAAAAATGTCTTTGAGTCATTTCAGCAGAAGGTACACTGGATAGAAGAATCCTACGGATCCTGTGGGTCCTCCCTGCAGAGGCACAGGGCCCTCTCAAGAAAGCGATCTTGGACAGTGAGTGTCTCTCCCTTCTCTGGGCCCACTTGGTCTCTGCCTTGGGCTCAATGACTTTTCCCTTTTCTACCTCAGCAGATCTTGGTCTGCCCCAGAAAAGGCCCTTGATCCCTGTTGCTTTCCTGCCTTGACCTCAACTCTATCCAAAAGGTGACAGCTCCTTTCCACATTTCTGCTTGCAGAGTCCAAGTGAATCTCAAGTCTTGGCAGAGGGGAGAAACTGACTGGCTCTAGTTGAGCCAACTGTGGGAGACAACTCCAGTGTCTCCCTTTGAATCCAAAATAATTACTGTGACTTTGAATATTTGGAGACTCATTTCCTTATACTGATACGTAAAAAGGTGGCTAGGGTATTTCCTTCTCTTTAATTAACTCTGAGCATGGCAAACAAGGCTAGCCCAAGAGCTAATGTGCAGCCATCACAGATATGAAAGGCAACTCCAGTGACTTCCTTTGGATCCAAAATGATTGCTGTGACTTTGATTATTTGGAGACTCATTTCCTTATACTGATATGTGAAAGGCTGGCTAGGAAATTTTTTTTTTTTTGTCTTTTTCATTTTTATCGGTACTGGGGATCAAACTCACAACCGCCTGCTAGCAAGGCAGGTACTTATGCCACTGAGCTAAATCCCCAGCCCCTGGCTAGGATATTTCCTTTCTCTTCAATTGGCTCTAAGCATTGCAAATAAGGCTAGCCGAGGTGCTAATGTGTAAAGACTGGCCATCAGACAGTCCCATTTCCTCACATGGTGCCCTCCATATTACAGGATTGAACTGGTGAGACATAGAGGAGATAGCTCCAGGAATGTCAACTGGGAAGGAGCCTCAAGATAAGAGGTATGACTCCCCAGGGCATAAGAGTTTGCATATCAAAAACCAAAGCAACAGCCCCCCAAAACAATTCCACCTTATTGGGTTATGTGAATTGGTTCTTCTGCATATCTTTATCTCTGCAAATTACAGAGATGCCATCCTTGCACCTGGCCAGCCAGCTCAAGTTACTCAGTAATCCCCGACATCCTATCACTCATCCCTTAATCACCCCCCTTTCTTCACAAGATAATAAATGCTGGGAGAGGCCTAGGATAAAGGCCTTTGTCCACGTGTCCTCACCGGAAATGGACTTGGGTCCCCTTGGCTGCCCTTAACTTGGAATATGTCTTGGTATCTTTACTCTTTTTTTTTTTTTTTTTTTTTTTGTCTTTTTCATTTTTATTGGTACCAGGGATTGAACTCACGACTGCCTGCTTGCAAGGCAGGCGCTTATGCCGCTGAGCTAAATCGCCAGCCATGGTATCTTTACTCTTGCCATGGGTTGCATTGGTGGAGATAGATTGGATTTGACTAACTGGGATTCCAATAACATCTCAATGGGATTGCAAATATAACTTTTTGGATTGTGAGGAAAACTAGACAGAGGATTACAGTACTTGGATGATTGAACTAGATTTTTTGGGTTTACAATATTGTCTTAGTTACTTTATGCTCGCTGAGACAAAATACCTGATGCCCAAGTTGGGAAAGGAAAGGTTTATTTCTTACAGTTTTTGGAGGTTTCAGTCCACATTCAGTTGGCTCCAAGACAGGCGGGCATGGCTGGACTGCCATTCATGGTGGCCGCCAACAGCAAGTTCAAACCAGCAAAGAGAAAAACACACCTTCTTCCTGCCATTACATCACATCCTGGCTCCACCCCTATGTGGGTGGAGCCCTGACACCATCAATCCAAGCACTATACAATGAATCATCACAAATGAACAATGCAAACTCATGAGGCCTGGGGGACACAAACATAAACCATGACAAATATCAACTATAAGGACCAGAGTCCTCTCTTCAGCCAGGGAAAGACCATAGCTGGTCAGGCATCTCTGTACATTGACTTTCTGCTTGCTTTCATAAGCAGGCTTCTCTGGCCCACACAGTCACTGACTGCTTGCCCCTCAGTTTGACCCTGCCCATGTTATACTGCCTGATGTACTTCCCTTCAAAAGTGTCTGCATGTGGTAGCTTCAGCAGCCCCATATACAAAAGCATCTGTATGTCTTCAGAGCCCAAACCCCCTGCATTCAAGTCCTGGGCCAAACCAGCCCTCTGGTCCCAGGGATCCTCCTGGAAGTCTAGTTACAACCGAAGGCTGTTGGCTCTGTTATAAGACTTCTTAGCTGCACCAGACATATCCTGTGCAAGTGCATCACATGCAAGAAAAGACAAACTGCCTGCCCTTTTCCTAATCAACACAGAACCCTTCAGTGACCAGAAGTCCAAACAATTTTCCAGTGGACTCCAAATAAGTTGAACCTGACACTAACTATCTGGATTTAGAGCTAGATCTCAGGTCAAGAGTTCTCAGTCCCCTCAAGCTAATTCTAATTCAAACAACAATTGCAAACTACACATTGTCACTTGTTCTTTTGTGCTACAAATCAAGAGTTCCCACTGTCCCTTCCTCATCAGCTTCCATTAATGACAGGTTCACAGAACTCAGGGCAATGCTTATGTTTACCTATTGTAATCCAAATATTATAATCCCTTTTTCCATTCTCCTTGCGGTCCAAATGTAAGTACCAAGCTTACATTTGGTATACCATTGAAATGTTATTGGAATCCCAATAAGTTAATTCCAATCTACCACCTCCACTGTAACCCACAGCAAGAATAAAGACCCTAAGACATATTTATAGTTATGGGCAGCCAAGAGGTCCTGAGTCTGGTCCAGGTGAGAATTCACAGAATAAAGACCTTGATCTAGGGCCTCACTCAGAATTTATTAACTTGTGAAGGAGGGAATGGTTTGAGGATGTGTGACAGTGAGAATGGCAGAAGTTACATGAGACTATGAGCTAAGAGTCCAGAAAGCACCTCTGCAATATACAGAGAGAAGGGAATGCAGAAAGACCAATCTGCGTGACACAGCTGAGGTAGCATTTAAATGGTCACAAAGCTGTTGCTTCAGTTTCTGATATGTCAACTTTTGTGCCCTGGGAATTCATAGCCTCTCTTCTTTTTGAGGCTTGAACCCATTTGACAGTCCTGGTGTTATGTGCGTCTGCCATCCCACTGCGCTCAAATGTTTACAGGGAGACAAGAAGCAAGGAAACAGGAAACTGTTGGCTTCAAGGATTATATACCAGTATCCAGCCGTATTTACATTGCTTAGAACCAGTTGAAAGGAGAAGGAAATAGCCAGCCCAGTACATATCAGTACATGGAGATAAGGCCAGATTCAACTAATGCAAAGGTAATTGTTCTACATTCAAGGAGAGCCATTCAAACGATCTTCTGCACTTACCAGTTTATTCTAAAAGACACAATGAACAGTTAGATGAAGACATTCATAGGCAAGGTCAGGTGAAAAAATGCAGGGTCTCTACATCTTCTCTGGTTGCTGCCTTTCAGGTACCTGTTCCACTTCCACCATCTGGAAGCTAATCAAATCTTGTTCAAGATTTGAATGGGAAATTAGATAGGGCTGAAGATTCCAACTCATCGAGTGTCTCTGATGCCTGGTTCCATCTTTAAGCCCCAACCTAAATTACCTCACTAGCATAATCAGAGGCTCATTGTAGATTATTAATAACCAAAAACACTCCACCCATTCAGGAAGAGTTTTAGGAGCTCTATGACATGACATGAACGAAGGACGAAGACTAACTGTATTTCATACCACAGTCCCCAGTTAGTACTCAGGTACTTAGGAATGGAGCTCCTGCCATGGGCTTCCTTGGAGTCCCAAGACACCAAGAAAGATACTGAGATTGATTTGCCTGTGGCCAGATGCAGATGTGCAGGCTGCAGACTCTGATGGCATCTGCTGCTCTGCTAAGCAAATCTGTCTGAGGCCCTGCTGGCTGGGGCCATAGCAGGCATGTGGGAGTGAATGTGCCTGGAGACTGAGGACAAAGTCCTTGTAATAAATTACGTAGGCTTGGAGTGCTCAGCCATTTCCTCCTGGGGCCCTTCTGCCTCTTATTCTGTGCCTTGCTCCATGACACACCGGAGCCCTGGCACTGCTCCTTTTCCAACTCTTTTGGAGTTCCCGGGGTGGAGGGAAAGGGAATCAGCAGAATCTCATCTTGAGGAGGTAAGGCAGTCCCAGCGGGAGCTCCTCCAGCTGGGAAGAGGGGCAGAAGGGAGGAGGGGCTCATTTCCCAGCAGAAGGATGACTGGATGGACTGGGGGGAGCTTAGGAAGCACAGATCTGGAAATGGGGTGGGGTAGACTTAAGGGGTAGAGGGCTAGAGATGCCCTTTAGGACCTTGAAACTAGAAACCTCAGCCTGGGAACTCAGTCTGTTAGCTTCCTGCCGGGCTGACCCCGGAAGCTGAGAAGGAAGTGAAGCTGCCCTGGTCTTCTGTTTTGGGTAGGCAGATGCTGGCATAGGAGAATGATCTTGCTGGGCTGCCCTTCATCTCTACCTGGCGCCCCTTCACCATGGAGGGCCACATTTCAGAGCCAAGCAATGTCAATGACAGCCCAGATACAGACGACCAGGCCCCAGTGGTGCCACACTTGCTGGTGCACTGTGTTCTTTCCGCACTCCGATGGCACTGCCTCCATTTTGGGGACTCAGAGCCTGAGGACTGTGAAAGTTAAGGTTCTCACAGGAAGAAAAAGGAGCCCGTGCCAACTATACACAGTCACTACTGAAAGCCTCGGCCCTGGTGTGAGGCAGAACAGGGTGCCCAGCCTCAGAGCCTCTCAGCATGAGTCACTGGGGGAATGGGCTGTGGAAGAGAGAGATGTGGCCTGTGGACTCACTGAGGCCATCTCCCTTGAGCTGCTGGCATGGTGTTTGTCCTCCAACCACAGAGGAGGAAGTTTGAGACAGAAATCAGGAGGCACTGGCAGGGACCCATCCAAAACTGCCAAGACTGGGCGTGTATGTACCCCAAACTAGGCCTTGTTGGGCTCCACTATGCGACTGTGGACTTTAATCCATTATAGTCTATGAGATCCCTGCACTTTGTCTGAGATTTTACAGGTTTTTTTTTTTCACAGTATTAGGAAGGGAACCCAAGACCCATACATGTTAGGCTGAGGTACTCCCCAGCCCTCTGTTCAGCATTTTATTTCAAAGAAAACTAACCCTCAGAGTGTGGCTCTGGAACTCAGGCCCATAGCAAAATCTCATTAAGAATCTTTCTGCTCAGCAGCTCTTTGGGCAGGAAGGCTTCCCCATCTCTCTGAACCTGCTGGGTGCCTGCCACCTGCCCCTCAGCTGACATCTATCAGAAGACTACCCTATGGGTGTCTGTCATGGCCCACTGCTCAGTGTGCGACTCTGCAGAGAGGAGCACAGTGGAGAGAGCCACATCCCTGCTACTTCTGCTGCTACAGAGCTCCTTCATTGTATGTAGCCTGACTCCTCCCACCTTCTCACACAGTTCATGTAACAAGTCATTCAAGGAAAAGGAGCAAGAATGGTAGCATATTTTTCACAGAAGAGATTAAATTGGCTAAGGTGACTTGCACGGGGTCACTTGACCCTGAGCTCCCCAGGGCCAGGCTGGGGCACTTGAAGATTTCCAGAACTCTGCAGAGAATAGACTCTCTGCACGTACATGCCCAGGGCATGAATGGAATAGTTAGAAGAGGTCAAGCTAGGGGCAATGTCAAGTTTCCAATCCATTTTCATCTCAGACTGTTGTCATCTCCTCTGTTAATCAGGCAGTGGGTATTATGTTGCTTCACCATCAGCTGGTGAGGCGAAGTGGCCAGTGAATGCCACGGACAGATAACTCAGGACACTGAGAGTCCGAGAAGACATGATGTGGTAGAGACCCCCGGGTAAACTGTGAAGGAAAGGATGGCAGCAGCCATTGTTAGCTACTGAAGCATGGATTTTAACTAAAATTAAGCTTAAATAGACACGAATAGCAAGTGGCTTCTGTCTTGCACAGTGAAGCCGTACAGGGTCTTGCATACCAGACTGCGGAGAGACGTGGAGTAGAACAAGCAGGGACTTTGGAAGTAATCATAGATTCAAGTCCTGACTCAGCCACCTACCCAACATAGGGCATCAAACCTGTTTCTTCATCTGTCAAAAGGGACTTCATCATTTACTTTGCAGGTTGCTGTGCACTTAAAATTAACGAGCTACTGGAGCTGGGGATTTTGCTCAGTGGTGCAGTGGCTGCATGGCAAGCCTGAGGTCCTGAGTTCGATTCCTGGTATCCCTCCCCAACCAAAAATAATTGATGAACTACTAAGGGACATTTTTAGCACACTTCCTGACTGAGCCACTACTTTGTTTGGGTGCCTTGAAGACAGAGGTAGCAGTCCAGAAAGGAACCACAGTGCGGTGAAAGATTGGTGTGCACCAGCACGTGTATGTATCCATCTCCCCCTCAGAGAGCAAACAAAAGAGTGGTTTGAGAAAGCTTACAGATATACCTATAATGCAACATAATAAAAGATAAAATGGATGAAAAATGGAAATGAAAGGAAAATTCAGGCAAGAAAATACAGCACAGCTGGGGAAAGGTTAACCAACAAAATATACACCAGGAAGTTGTGTACATTTTCTAGGCACCGACTACATTTATTCTAAAGCACAAAAAGAGGTGAAAAACTGATGGTGTTCTCAAGTTAGGAAGCATTTCTGAGGAAAGGCCAGCTCTCCACTAGAATACCATGAAGGGGGTATCAAGGGAGGAAATGACATTGTCAGTAGCAGTGAAGGCAGACTTGTCAAAGGGCTATTTGTGGAAAATGGAGGACAGTCCCTCAAGGGCTATCTTTCCATGAATGGGACACACCATGAGCCATCTATCTCTACCATGAAAGAGGCTTTCTTAAGGATGTCTCTGTGAGGGAGAGGAATTCTCTGAGAGTCTTTGTAAAGTGAAGGCAGTTTCTCATGGGTTGTCTATAGGATGAAGTAGGGTTTCTCAGATGTCCTGCAAGTGACAGAGGGTTCAGGGCTGTCTCTATAATGAAGGAAGGCTGCTGGAGGGCTGTCTCTTCCAAGTTGTCTCTGGGAAATCTAACAACTTTCCTGCAAAGAAAGAAAGAACAAAGAGAAAGCTGTTTCCTGGAAAGGTGTGAGCTGTGCATTTCAATGCAGGGTAACAAGGAGGAATGTCAGGCCTAAAGGAGGCTGGAGCAGGGTCTACTGGGACCAGAGAGAACAGATTTTAGCTCTGCCAGGGGAATCTGTGTCAGGGAGGTTGCAAGGGAACAGCTGACCGGGTCGGAAAGAGTGGGCTGGGGATGAAGCTAGACAGGCCAGAGCCTTGCTCACACCCATAGAGAGTCATAACACACCTGCTCCTAGCTTCGAGTGTCCAGTGTGTGTACGCAGCAGCAGAGGGGAACAAACCTGGCCAGACTGGCTCATCCTGGGGTGTTGCAAGGGACAAACAGGATCCTTGCCAACTTCTCAGGTCCATAGTCCCCCTGGAGGGGAACAGAGCTTGCTCAGAGGAAGACAGCATCCCAGGAGTCGTCCTTCACCATGTTGCCCTGTGGCTGATGTCTTTGGAAGGGCTGGGACAAGAGCAGAAGGGCTGGATCCCTGCATCTTCACTGCCACCTATTGTGGACTTCTTGACAGCAGCCGGATCCCTTGCCCATCACATCAGATATGATGGAGATCTGTTATTTCCTGTCCTTATTCTGATCTTACCTGGACCAGATAAAAAGCAATTTTCCAGGTGGCTTGGCTTAGGCCTCTGACCTCTGTGGGCTGCCACTTACAATTTTCCTCTCTTGGAAATTGATCTTTCTGAAATCAGGACAGTTGAAGTCTAATCTCTCTGAAATTAATACAGCAATTCCAGCTTTATTTTTATTAGGATTAGCATAATATATTTTAACCATCTTTATTATTACTCTAAATGTCTATATTCAATGCATGTTACTTATGAACAATATATAGTTATGAATCTCAAACTAGACAAAATATTCAGGTCCTAGTAATCATTTGGATGTGAGAAACAGAATAACTGATGTGTTTTCTTCAGCAGTTGCTGCCATGATGGAGCAGGTGTGGGGAGGATAGCAAGGGATGATCACATTGGGTTTGACATGCCCTGGCATATTTGTGAGATGTCTGGAGAAATTGCAGGGTCTGAAGTTGGGAAGGAAATGAGGGCTGGAGATTTTCGATTGGGACTCAGCAGTGCTAGACTCCTGGAGTGGCCTGGGAAGAGAGTACTCAAAGGGAGTGTGCAGGTTGGATGAGACCAGAGGGCCACCAGATGAGGCAGAACACTTTGGCTTCAGTGATGGGAGTCCAAATGGCTTAGCTTAAATGGTCAAACTGATAACAACCAGGGATAGGACTCTTTTTGCTTTTTAGTCTAGTAACTTTTAAGTTAGTGCATGTTAGTTACACTATGCAGTGGGCTTCACTTCGGTATATTTGTATGTGCATACAACACACTCTGCCTATCTCCTGTTACCCTTCTCTCCCTTTCTGTCCTCTGCCTCTTCTCTAACAGTCAGACAAGATTCCTGTCTTTTGACTTTTTCCCTCCCCACCGACCAACTTGATTCTCTTAACCCAGCTGCTTTTAAACTCGAACCATAATCTCTGACATGTCTGAAATCATAGTCCCAAACTTCTAGACTAGAGAGGAAAATCAACCCTCAGCTCCAACTCAGAACATCACAGAGGCAGCTGTGACTGGCATGGTGTGGGCCACAAGGCCATCCTGGAGCCATGATTCATGGTTCCCATGGGAAACATAGTTTGGGCCAGGGGAGGAGAAATGCCCCAGAAGGGCAACAGAGGAAGCATACCAGGAAGACAAAAGTCACCAGCATTTCCTTCACTTGCCAAGAGATTAAAGTAACAATATTGGCTGCAGGAGGAGAGACATCCCCAGAGGCATAGAGAAAGGAGGAGAATTCTGTGGGAGTAAGGAGGAGTAAGTGGTTCAGAAGATACAACAGGCATAGTAGTGTGGTGGGATGGCTCCTCCGGCAGCCTGACAGTGGCCAAATGCATGGAGGAAGTGGCTGGAGAACTTCATGAGGCTGAGAAAATTCTTTTCTATCTTGAGCTTTCTATTTTGAGACTTGAGCTTATCTCCATGCAGACTGGAAAGGGCCAAGACAGGGAGAGTGGGTGAAGACTGAGAGGGAGAGGTTGTATTAGTCATCACTGCTGTGTAACAAACAAGTGTGTTACTCAGCTTCCCATCACCCCAACAAAGGACTGAGATAACCAATTTACACAGAGATTTATTTTAGCATACAGTTCTGGAGGTTCCAGGAAATGATTGGGTACACTCAGTGCTCTTAGGCCTTTGGTGAGGGTGCCAGAGGGCAATGGTGGGGAGCAGACAGCAGAGCAAAACATTTTGCCTCATGGCCCCAGATTGAAAGGGAAGGTAAAGGGATGTGTGTGTGTGTGGGGGGGGGAGTCATCCCCACAGTCCTCTCTGAGCACACTCTCCACCCCACAACCTGAAGACCTCCTGCTAGATCTTACCTTTTAGAGATTCTACCATCTCCCTGTAGCCCCTCCTTGGGTACCAAGCCCCACATCCCAGCATGTGTCTTTGGGGGACATTTAGACCCAAACTGGAGCTGAGTTGTGTTCTTATGGTCATGGACTTCACATGTTCAAGATGAAGGCTCCAGCATGGTTGGCTCTCCCAAGACTCTGTCCTGGGCTGCTGGTGCAGAGCATGGCCGTTGTCCACCTGCTTGCTCTTCGGATGATCATCCCTCTGTGTGTGTTGGTGCACTCAGTTCCTGTTTTTATAAGCACACAAACCAGACTGAGATAAGGCCCATGCAACTGATCTCGTTTTCATTTAATTACCTCTTTAAAGATATTTTCTGCAAATATATCCCATTTTAAGGGTCCTTGAGGTTAAAAGTCTAACATACAAATTTTGAGAGGACATGATCGGGCTTATGAAAAAGCTGTAGTCAGGGTGTCAGTTGGAAACCTGGATGCGGTTAGAATGTTCTTTCCATAATCACATAGCTGTGGAATAAAGACCTCATTTCCTTACCATGTGAGTTTCTACTTAGGGCTGCTTGAGTGTCCCTACAACATGGTGGTCAAGGATCCTAGAGAGCAGCAAGAGGGAAGCACCAGGTCTCTGTGAACTGAAGCTGCAGTCTGCCACTTCTACCTTATTTCACATGATAGAAGTGAATTACCAGGTTCATGCTCAAGGTGAAGAGAATTAGTCTCCAGCTTGTGAAGGGAGCTATGTGTGTTAGTCAGCTTTGCATCACTATAGTGAAAATATCGGACATAAGCTTCCTTACAGAGTAAAGAGAGTTTGTTTTGACTCATGGCTCTGCAGGTTCATTTCCAAGACTAGGGGACCTCAGCAGCCTGGGCCTTTTGTGAAGGCAGCACACCATGGCGAGTGGTTACCTGGAGCCAGGAGGTAGAGAGAGAAGTCCCAACTGTCCCTTCTAGGGCACACCCTCGATGAGCTAAGGACCTCCTGCTGGGCCCCACCTCTTAAATAAAAGTGTCACTAGGTTTCATCTGTAGAAGTTCCTCCCAGTTCTGTCACAATGAAGACCAATCTTTTTCATACAGACCTTTGGAGGACACTCAAATTATACCTAAATCACAGTATCATGTCACAGAAGAGGTGAACCTATTTTAAGCTAGCACAGTAATGCACAAAACAAGGGAGGATGCAGGCAGAAAGGGCAAGGCTGTGTGTACATGGGGAGGAAGAGGAGGAGAGAGCTGGAAGGGAGGACAGAGTTCCTTTTCTGCAGTAAAATATATCGAGGCGTTGCGTAGAGCAGTTTGAGGAAGCTTTGAAACAGGAATTTTTCACAAGTGGGCTGGTCAAGGCCCAAGGAAAGACCCTTGGGTGCTTCTGAGAGCATGGGGAGTGTAGTCTGCGAGACTAGCCTGGCTCCTAGGTGCAGAGGAGCAGGACTAGGTGCTCCAGGGTTGGAACCTTGCAAGGTGCGAGAGGAGTCTATTAAAGGGAAGTAAGTAATGGTGTCTCCAAGACAGTGATGGCTGGTGGGGGGGGGGTCACATCATGTGACCTTATTGTGTTTTATTTTAAATTCCATTTATGAGTATTACATAACCACGTTTCTCCAAAACAGATTTAACTCAGTCTCCAGGCAAGCTGGACACAGAAATAAAGCGGCGGCGGGGGGGGGGGGGGACAGGCCAATAGCCTTAGGGAATGCAAAAGGACTGAGGGTCACATGCAGCGGGGGCTGAGGGTCGCAGCTGCGCATGGGGATGGGCTGGGATGTGTCATCTGCAGGGGCGGTGGGAAGATGTAGCTCCTGAAGTCCCATAGCTCTGGGCTGCGGGAAGACCAGAGCAAACCATGGGGAGAGGACGACACTGGAGTCTGGGCTTGGGGGTGGCCGAGTGAGGTGTTTGACAGCTATGTCTGTGTCCAGTGGGACCGATACCTCCTTCCTGGAGGCAGATGCCATGCTGGTAAAGAGGGCAGATGGCAACTGAGCTGAAGAACTCAGATTTCAACTTGGGCTGGAAAAGCCTGGAGCAGGAGAGGACAGTGGCAGCCAGAGGACTGCCATGTCCCTCTGTGTCTTCTCCCTCCCCGCCTGCCCTGGGCTGTGTGAGGGGGAAAGTGGGTGTAGGACCCCTATTCCATCAGGGTCTTCTCTGCATTTTGATATGGCCCCTGAAACCTCCCCAAGGCAGTAGATTTTGGAGCTCGGGAGAAGACACCTCTTGCTTACCAGGTGAACAGCTCCAGCAAGGACCTCGAATTCCTCAGTCTTTGTGCTCTCACCTGTAAGTCAAGGACAATGACATGTGTCCTCCTGATTGCCACCGCCCCTGTGCACCTCACTCAGACCTCCAAACCACTCTTGCAGCAACACTCTCTCCAGGGGCTTTGCATACCTTTTCAGGGGACAGATGCGGACTGAGTCCCCTCTGTGGTGAATTGGTAATAGATGAGATAATAGGGTGACAAATACCACAGTCCCAGGACCTGCTTGCTGCTGCTTATCAGTACATGGACAGGAAAGCCAGTTCTCAAGTCTAGGTAATGGTGAGGGCTTCTTCCCTATGGGGCAGATTAGGGCCTTACCCCTACCCCCACCCCATCCTGCCAACTACTGGCCATGCCTGCCCAGGTACCTCCACAGCACCTGCTGGGACAGCTTGGAAATACAGCAGGGTTAGGGCTCAGCATTCTATGAGAGAACAGGTGCCCACAGGGCTGGGCTGGCTGTGGGAGGGGCAGAGTCCACAGGGACAGCCACCCTTCCTTCCCAAAACCCCAGTATAAATCAGGGCAGCACCCATGCTGTGAGATTTAAAGCATGTGACATGCATGTGGCTCTAGTGGCTGCTTAGCTGGGGATTTTTCAGAATGTATGCTGGTGACTTACCAGGGACCTGGCCAAGATCCCTAACTGCCTGTATGAGGGGTATAGCGAAAAGATGAAATAAGAAACAGAGACAAATTTAATAATGCACAATGGGGGGCTGGGAGGTTAGTGCCTCAGGACGAGCAAAGACAAAGACACTCAAACCAGCCACTACTTCTTGGGTGTATGCATTGTAGGAGGGGCTAGTAGAAGATTCAGGCAGGTGGAAGACTCTGAGGTCCCGGTCTCAGCAGGCAATGGATAATCCCGGGATGAGTCAGGAAGGCTGAGATGATTTTATACTAAGGATCTTGCCCTGGAGTGTTTTTTAATCTTCATGGGTTTAATTTAGGTTTAGTGGGTAGGAGATGATGGCCAGTCCCTAAAAAGTTAATGGGAAGGCTCAAATGGATGATAAAAGTAATCCCAAACCTTCATTTTATCCCTTAGGGAAATATGCAAAATTAGCCATCGTAAATTCATGGTCATCAACAATGACTGTCTTCCAGGGTGTCAGCCTAGGTACCACTGGGGCTGCTGGGTGACAGGCAACACTCTTTGTGGAGCCCAAGCCTGAGTTCAATAAAGATAAGACCAGACCAAGAGGCATCCAAAACTGTGCAGATGAGCAGTCCCAGCTCTGGCCCCCAGGGACTCCCCGTTGGGGCCCCACGGTGGTACTGACCTGCTTTCCCTCTCCTCACAGGTTGTGCGGAGCTGCTGACCAGGATGCTGGCGTTCAGGCTGGTGAGAAACACATCTGTGTATCTAAGAGTTATTTGTGGAGTTTACCCAAGGCTGTGAAAGTTACTCAAGTTCTCCCAGGGAAACAAAAAAGGCAAAACCCAAAGAAAGAAAATAACAGACCAAGGGAGTAGGGGAAACAAGACAGTTCATACTATCTAGAGATCAAGGCAGCCACTGGCCATGGTCTCACTGTCCCCAAGGATTCTGAAGGGCTTTCTCACTCCTGTTTCACGGGAGTCTCAGAGAACCCGCTCAGGAAAAATAGGTAACATGAGGACTTCAGGACAGAATGGACTCTGCATCCTGTTCTCTTCACTCAGCATATGTCCGGGTCCCAGGGGCAGAGAGGCAGCTTTGTCTATAGGGAGTGGGGAGTTTCCAGTTTACCCTCAAGCTCCGAGGAGGGGATTTCAGACTGCTGCCTGGCAGGAAGCAGCTGGGAGGCTGGGGGAGGCCAGAGAAAGACCCCAGCCAGCCTGGCCGTCCCTCCTTCTCCTCCAGATTCTCACCCCTGCTCCTCTAATCCCAGTGCAGGGTTGCCAAGTCCTCTTAAATAAAAAGTGTCCGTAGTATTCTCCTGAGTACAAAGCCATGTGATACCTATTGCCCCTCTATACGATCCACACAGCTAAGAAGGACCCTATCACCAAGCAGGAACCTGGAAGCTCCCAGAACTAGCCCCTGGCACATGGTCGCCTGGTCCTGGCACCCGGTCAGAACCAACAGAACGGGCAGCGAGGGTTTGCTGTTATCACTGTTTTTCATCTAGGGAATAGAAATGAGGCTGCATCAGGCTAGACAAAGGCTCACTATGATCTGAAAATTCAAGTTGTCAGGGCTTTTGGCAACCATTACTTCACACACATAAGAACTTGACACCACTTCAGAACACAATTTGGTTCTTTAAAAAAGTTTTTAAACTGAACATGGTGTAAATCCCAGCATTTAGGAGGCTGAGGCAGGAGGAATTGTCACAAGTTCAAGGCCAGCCTCGGCTACATAGTTACTTCAAAGCCAACCTAGACTATACAGTGAGACCCTGGCTCAACAAAAAAATTGATTTTTAAACTAGCATAAAACAAAAACTACATGTTTATAAGGTACCATGTGATGTTTTGATACATGTAAACATTGTATTATGTTCAAATCAGGGTAAATATTATCTGTCTCCTCAAATGCATGAAAGCCAGATTTACGACACAAAAGAATCTCTCCATAGGTATCACTGGCTCACATGTCCTCCTAGGACATAACCAACTTCATGTCCCCAGAGTTGAGGAAGCAGAGTTTACAAAGGCACCAGGCTGTGTTACTTATGAGTCCGGTTCTACCGTCTATCTCAAATGTTTTGAAAAGCGGGTGATGTCTGACTTGCTGTTCTTCTTGCTGGGGTAGAATACCTAACACCTAAAGTTAAAGAAGGAGAGGTTTATTTTAGCTCAGAGTATGTAAAGGTTTCAGTCCATAGTCAGCTGGCTACAAGGCAGGTTGGCATAGCAGAGGGGCATTTTAGAGGAGAAATTGTCCGCTGCAGGGCAGGCTGGAGGAAGCGAGCAGGGAAGAAGCAGCCGCCCTTCATTCTCCTTTTTATTCCACCGAGGCTACACACCTACTGATCGGAGCCACCCACGCCCAAATTATCCACACCCAGAACTATATAAAGTAATTTAGTTACACATCCTTTCCACAGTCATACACTCCAGACCCAGCCACCTCGAAAGAGCCCTATGAGCACATGTGGCTTTGGGAGGACATCTAGATACAAGCCATCATGGGTGGTCATCTTATTCATCAAGGAATCCGGCAAAGGACCTGAGGAGCAGCAGAATAAAGAACAGAACTTTATGAACTTACTACTCATAAACCATCTACCCACACCTGCACTCTGTTGGACACTGCCGTGAACTTTCGCAGCAGCCAAGGGGGAGGCATATGTGGACTGGGCCCCAGTGACCTGTCCCACCCTGGGGTGGGGGTGCTGCTTCCTAAGAAACATGTGGGCCAAGAACTGGGGTATAGTGAGTCACCACAAAGAGCCTGAAGACTTTTACAGAAAGTGAAAGGATCCTGCCTACTTATGTGTGCCTTCAGCCATTTGCTTTTCCCTGATTTGGGCTCTGGTGAGTTCAGACGTGCGCACACTCACACACACACACACACACACACGGCCATCTAAGGACGAACATGCAAGTAGACACTGTCTCCCCTTGACCATAGCCTTTCATCTCCCACACCACGTCGGTGAAAGGACTGAGCGGGGCTGCCGCTCATTCTGCAGCGTGCTAAGCTTCTGGGTAGCACTGTTGTACTCTACTCAAAAAGCAGGGCCCCATGATGAAAATTGGGGCAAGACCCCAAGATGACAAACAGGGCAAGACGTCTTTTTTAAAAGAAGCACTTTTATTTTAGCTGGCCCAGCGACACAGTGCAGATGGAATTTGCAAAGCTGTGCAACTGAGTTAGAGTTTTGACTGATTTTTATAGTTCATTTATGATTAGCTCATTGATCATTAAATACATAGTGATGAGAAACAGAAATAAGGTGGGCCTTTGTTCCCCTTTGCTTGAGGTCAGAGGCATTTTGCAGTGGGTGGTTAGCCAATTCATAGTCCTTGGTCTGCCAATTCCAGGAACGTTTGTCTCTCATAAAGGGAACAATGGTTGACACAGCATCATTTATCTCTTACAAGGGGAACAAAGGTTGACGTAGCACACAGGTCACTAAGGTGGGGGGATGATGCATTACAGAACAGCAGAACGACGCGGTCAGTTAATTTATAACTATGTGGTTGGTGCTTGGTTACTAGGGTAATGAGCTCAGTACAGAATGACAACATTACTAATAACTATCTTTTTAAGTAACTATTTTTGTTAATTATCTTTTAATCAATTATTTTAATTTTTAGCATCTTAGTATAACAAGCACCTGATTTATAACCACTTTAATGATACCCTGGCTTCTTTCCAAATGAGCTGTGATTGCCAACCTGCACACATGCAGAGGACCTGGGGGCCCATCCTGGCTGAGGCTGGGTGGGGATATTTTGATGGCACAATCCCTAATTAATTAAGCCATGAACTTTTATTCATTGAATTTGATGGTAAATCAATTAGTCCTTTACCTTTCAGGCAAGCCATTCCTTATCAGATGAAGAAGTGATAGAATGACTGAATATGGGTGGCTGTGGCACAAGCCACCTGTCCCTATGCAGGGGGAGGGCACCTGCTTCAATGAACTGACCTGAGTTAGGGCTTGGCCCCTAGGCACCGCTTCGGGAGAGTGCTGAGTCCCGCTGGTACCTCCAGCTCCTCTCCTACCAGGGGGAGAGAGGAATGCGGAAACAGGCCCAGTGCATGCTACCTGTGTCAGTGTGTGGACCACAGAGCCATCCGTCTTGGGAGACATCGGGGCCGGGGACCAGTCTCCTAGGAGTGCTGCTCACATTAGGCTGGAATTGCCACCTTCTCTGAGGGTAGAGCTCTGCTGCAGTGGGGGAGTAGCACAGTGGAGACTGGTTTGTCCCACTGAGAGCAGTGTGGGGGGCGGGTTGGGGCTTGGGGGGGCTCTCCTTTCTGTAGCTCAGGTTCTCTCTCTCAAATCTTAACACTTTTACTTTCTTTGCTGCTGGCCACTCTGGCTTCTGCTTTTTCTCTTCTCACCCATTCTTATCATGACACAGCTGCTTTTGCACAATTCTCTTTTTCAACCAAGAATTCATGAAGAATCTATTTTCTGCTGCTTGGTCTGTCAATTATGTCTTGGACCAGGGATTTAGCTCAGTGGCACAAGCACCTGCCTTGTGCAAGCACAAGGTCCTGAGTTCAATTCTTGATAACAATAACAACAACAAAAAAAAAGAGTGAAAAAGCCAGGCACAGTGGTGCACTTCTGCAATCTCAGTACTCGGGAGGCTGAGGCAGGAGGATCGTTGTGAGTTTGACACCAGCCTGGGCTACAAAGTAAGCCCAAGGCCAGCTTGAACTGCACAGCGAGACCCTGTCTCAAAAAGAAAAAAAAAATTCATTATTTCTTAGTAGCACTTTGCCTACACTCTGGCTTTTGTTTTTCCAGCTCCCTTGGGGCTGATGGGTCCTTACTGTCTGGATCGGAAATTATTTCTTTTTCATTTCTGGCTATGGTCAGTTTTGCTGTGGGGTGCTTATCAGTCTGTCTCCAGCTTTTAATTTTCCTGCTTCGATGCCTGACCACCTGCTTCCACTGTCCAGTGGGTCATTCACACTGAAAGTTCAGCCTTGAAGGTCTGATGAGATTCAGTTAATTCATTCAGTATATTGTGTAATCTGAGGTCTACTGTTCCTTTCAATTTAGTTAGTTTTTTCCCCCTGGTGTTGTGATGGGTCCCAGATCTTTGCACATGCTCTTCTGCTGACATACATTCCCACTCCTTAGTTTTTATTTTTATAAAGTTATATAAACACACAGTTTATTGGGTCAGTGCCCACCACCTCCTCTTCCCTAGGAGTGACCACTTCAACCCTTTCTATTGATCCCTTTGATTTTCCCCTTTACATCTGGAAGGAGCTTACAGTCTACTTGATATTTTGGTGTCAGGCATTATTTGTTACTGATTCTCTATCTAAAAAGACTTAGCTCCCCCACTGGAGTCTCCAGCCAGGGCATTCACGTGAGTACTGTCTCTCCTCTCCAAAGTGTTAAGCCCTAGTTTTAATCACCCACAAACAAAATTCAACCTTTTATCAAAATGAATGCTACTCGACTGCCACACACAGTAGGCACAGTGTGTATCACCTAATGAGGGAGCAACTTCTGAGAAATATGTTGTCAGGCAATTTTGTTGTACAAACATCATGGAGAGAGCTACAGTGTCACAAGGTTGTACAATCTTATGTGCCTACCATTGCGTATCTGTTACTGACTGAAACATCATTTTGTGAGCTGGGTCTGAACATGTGCTTTCCGTTGCTATACTTTATAATCATCCTTCCCACTGTTTACTTGGTGTGTCTGTGTGTCATTT